GAATAATATTGAAGTTACTAGCTGAAGTGAGGGGAAAGCAAGACTGGTAAAACCGAGTATATATCTAAAAAGCAGGACATAGATTCAGCTGTAGGTGGTAGGTGGTCAGATTACTGTGGAGAAATTACCCTATTTCATTTTCAACATTTATTCTCAAATTGTCAAGAGTAATTTTGTACGGATTTCATTTGTGAAAACTCCGATCACGGATTGATGTCATTTCGGGGAGCATCGCAAACCAGAGATTACTGGAAAGCTGGTTTATGCTAGTTCGGGAACATCCGGCAATCGAACCCACAACCTTCTGGTCACACGGTCAAGCTTGTTGACAATTTAACCATTCCAGCCGAATCCAATGTCTTGTAAGTATGGGTTGTACTCGAGATTGACCTCAACTAACCGCACTTACTAAAGACTTCTCCTCTTAATACCCTTAACAGTACTCTAGCTAGCTGGCGTATAAGTGCTGCTTAACGAACTCGAAATAAGAAGGCTTGAGACTGGGTAGTGTGTCCTGATGGGAGTTCTATTTTATACAGATGAAGCATCAATTTAAATAAATAAGAATGTTGTACAACTTATCTGGTGCCTCGGTTGGGTAGTAAGCTCAAATATTGTGCTGAATGGTAGCACAAGAAGGGAGCGAAACATGTGTCTACAGTAGTGTGTCGGAAATCACAAGATGGTGTGGCGCCAAAAAGTACGTGAATGCGTTAAAACAAAAATTCAAACGTTCAAAGTACACTACAGGCCCATCAATTCTAGCTTCTGTCAATTAGCAGTTTTAGCACGAAAGCCAGCCAACATATTTCATCACATCAGACCTACTGGACCCCACTAGTCAATACTTCTGACGAGAACTCCATGGAACGTCGTCCTCTAACCAGTCACTAGCGAGCATCAGATTAACTTCTTTCCAGTCTGGTGTAGGATTGAAATCAAAATAAACGTAAAAGCAAGAAGATAAAGTACGCCTCCGCACATTTCATCATTTTATGGACACATTGTGAAATCTTTCACTGCCTTCCTCAAATGAACAAAATAATTAAGCCAAGAAGACCACATCGTGTTTAATAGAACTTCCGTATAAGCTGTATTTTCACCTCGATTTTATGCTTGTTTTTCAAACGAGAACTACACAGCTGCCAAGCTCATGTATGTATGTAACCAGCTAAATGAGGCTATTACAGAGGTTGATTGGATGAATTTGAAAGAAGGTCAAGATGAAGAGAAACCGTGACTATTACGACGTCACTTTCTTTTCACTGACAATTTTTCTTAAATATACTAAAGTGTCGAAATGAAAAATGTAAAATATTTGAATTTGAACATTACCCTTAGTTCACACTGAGTTCTTATAAATAAACATGCAGGATGAAGCGTATATAGAAATAAATATTTAATTTTCAATTACTTTTATAGATGTAACAGAAAGGCTATTTGAGAGGGAAGTTTAGAAAATTCTGTCTTCACCATGTAATCCACATTTGGAATATTTAAAACTTGCTGTGAGTTTTCAATTTACCGATCATTTATGATCTTCCAGTATGCTGTCATCCTGTCATCATACGTGGGGGCTTTTCGAAATCGTTTCATATTGCATCGTCCAATTTTTTCGAATACCGTTATCAATGTCTTGAAAAGTCGTTTCAGAAGCTTCGTTATTTCTTTTAAAACAGCCCGAATACTGAGTGGAAGAGGCGACCTAGAATACTGTGGTAACACTTCAATCGATTTTATGGAATAATGAAGTTAAGTTGGATACTTCTGATGCCATTGTGTTATCTGCATCGGCTGGTTTGTTGGTTGGTTGGTCTAATTTTGAAGCACCAAAGCTCAACGAGAATTAACACTCTGAAATACTTCGACTTCAATATGCAGTGATGGGCTTTCTTTGTTTGCATTCTTTACCATCTTGTATTTCCACTGGACATTTTCCTGGTCTGATATTCAACTCTGAGACTATGTAACTACATTTTCATTGGTCGGTAAGTCATGTCTATTTCAGTAATGCCTACTGACTGCTACGTTCTAGAAATTTGCCAAATATATTTTGGATAATTTTCTGAAGGAGGTTTTGCTCATAATTACTCAGTTGGTGAAATGAATTGTCTCGTCTCTTGAATGTATCCTTTCCACACATTCTGAGGTCATCCAGATAATGTTCATGGTTGGTATTAGATGGTTGAAGGCAGTCTGCAAGAAGCTTTGGACCTAGGTTTCGTGCTAGTTGGCGTATCTGCAGTCACTTTGAAGGTACTCACGACCCTTCGGCACCAAAGATAGGACTAGACACATCACACTAGTTAATGACCAGTATCCAGTCAAAATTGTCCCTAGCTAATAAAATTTATTTTAAAAACGTTATTGGTGTTGTCTTCTTTCGCTACTGTGATTAGTAGAGAATAAAATCCAAAGAGTACACAAAATTTAGGTGAAATTTAAGTGGGAATTAAGCATCAGTTTGTTGAAGATGATATCAAATATTTTCCGAAAGAATTTAGGTGATTCTTGTTGATTTAGGAATAGACATCTACTTTCTACACTAATATTTTCTATCAAGCTGTATTGTTTTCTAAACTTCCCACTCAAGTACCACTTGTCGTCATGTGGAACATAACTTCACAAATAAGAGAGTTGTTACTTGTGAGAAGAAGTGAGGTGTCACATCTACATATAACATAAACTGTGTGATTTTCCTCTGACGACATGCATGAAATTTCATTAAAATCTGATTTTCTTGTTTAATTTGGAACTATCATCAATAAATAGCTAAATATTATTTGGTCCAAGAAGTCTGGCAGACAGCGTTGGCCATACAGCCACCGATTTGGAAACTGCTTCAATAATGTGGATTTCTCCTTTCCCTTGATTTAACGGCTATATGACAGTGCCAAATGTCAGGTGATCTACAAGAGAACACACAGCGAGGCCTTTGAATTGGAGATAAGAGTAAGTAAGATAAGGTTTTATGCTATCGCTGATTATATTCCTGACTGAGGTGGACTGGGTAATGTGGCACACACCGTGTATGGGGAGCAAGAAGACAGAAATACATTGGACCGTTAAGAAGAATCTAGAGGATGTGAACGGACGAGATTTATGTCTGATGTCACATAAACCTGAAGATCTACAGGCGAAAACCAACAAGTTGTCAGGATTGGCTGGCGTCAAAGATAGGACTTCGAGGGAATATAGAGAAGACAGGTCTGATGAAGATAACCAAAGAACGATAACAAGCATCAGTCACTATCGACGGGAGGGATTTGTAGGAGGTCAGTCACTTCACTTGTCTGGACAGCATCGATTAAAATACAGGCGACGTGAATGAGGGTGTCAAAGGCAGCCAGGATCTGAAGTCAGTTTGGAAATCTGCTGCTGTCAGCATAAATTCAGATTTCCAACGCTAATGTTAAGTTATTTCTTCTATATGTTTCAGAGACTTCATGTGACCGAAAAAGTGTTAGCAACAAGCTACTTCAGACTTTGACCAACAGCTATCTTCGCTGACTCCATGTCAGACAGAAGTCAAATCGCCTACCGGAGCGGATCAGCCAATCAAAAGGAAATTGCAAGTGACTAATCTGATCCATGAAACTACCAGTCTGCCGAAGCAGTTAGCAATAAATCGTTGGTTTGAACTAATTCAGCACCCTCAGCTAAGTCAAACAGGGTACACCGCTGATGAGCTTAGTCTCAAACGGATGAAACGGTCGGTCTTCAGTGTTTGGATCAACTAGATCTGGGCAGGAAGTATTACTGACTGATGTCATTAGCATACGGCGCCACAATAACACCCGATCTACTCTTGAAATCATGTTTTCCCATAATACAGAATTCTCAGATTAATCTCTTTCAAAATATTTACACTCAATGTAGAATACTATTCATCGACAGTATACTGCACGACTCGATGTCATTTAATCTGAAACACCACTCAATCCTCTACGAATCTTTTCCTTCATTTTATTCTCAAAGTACACACAAAGTAGGTTGGAAGTCAACTAAACATTTTCACGAGTTCATGTTGTAATCCAAATACATAATTCGAATATTAAACGAACACGAAGAGGAGAGAAGTGAATGCAGTTTCACTAAATAGAAGTTTAGCTAGCAGGCCTTGTAGTTATCACTTGACTGGACATGGTGACAGAGGAGAACTCAGTCTGATATGAATATCTGCAGTTCTACTGAGAGATGATGCTTTATCACAACGGGTATAGAAACCAAAACAAAACAACATAAAATTAGAAGCATGACTGGGTAATATGTAAGGTGACCTGTTCCACCGACAAAGTGGTCGATTTACATATGTTATAGTGGAACAAATCTCAAAGAAACTTCAGAGAAACTAAGTCCAAGGTAGATGGATGAAATGAGATGACTAGACAAGCTTCCTGTGTTAAAATAGGCTTGACAGCATGCAAGAAAATAAAGTCAACAAATCATAACAGTAAGACACAAAGATCATCTCAAAGATACATTTCTAGCCATGAAAACCACACCTGAAACCTTGTTTTCATTTGTAATTCTGCATAATGGAGGAGGTTTGTGTTCGCTATGTGGATACAACCACATCAAAGTGTAATTATGTCTCTTAACTCATAAGTGAATATAAACAGACAAACAAATTGAATCCATTGTAATTATAAAAGGGTTGTGAAAGTTGTTCACGAGTCTTGACCGTAATATAGAAATTATAAATTGTGACACATGATGGATTAAATTGTGTTTATAATGACACGCACAGTTACAATGTGCTCCAATTTATTCATACTCTAATGACCTAAATGATACAAGGCGAAAATATCTTTGAATACAGTTCGCTTATTTGAACTATTGATCATCACCATCAAACACGAGATGAACTATTACGCAATAATGCTACTTCCTTATTTGAGAAGACTATAAAAGCCTGACTGTTTGGATTGTTTTCATTGTCAGCTAATAATCATTTGAGTAGCTTTTCTGAAGGATCGATATTATCAGATTTTCAAATAATGTCTCTGAAAGTGTTGTTAACAACAGTCTACGTGGTTTTCGTCTTTCTCTGTAACAATCAAGCGACATCGACTGGTATTCACAGCCTTCGTTATTATGGCTATAATACACCAATGGGTTAGTAAAGTGTTATTCATTTTTGCACATATATGATGATATGATTTAGCATTCATACATTCAATGTCTGTAATGTCTAATTGAAAAAAATCGATTATTTTAGTATTTCTGTGTTTAATTTGTTATTTAATGACACTGAACTCTTTTCTGCCCACTAACAGTCCCTGTGCATGTCTTTCTTCTTTCTTCGATTTGACGATGAACTGGTTTAGTGGATTAATAAACTGCCCCCTCTTTTTCAGTCAGGAGATTCCTAGTGAGGTTAGATTGCATTACAATTTGCCAGCCATTCAACGAGGCTTTGCTAATGAAAGGAGATGGTCATGTCAAAATCGTTTATGAATTAATCCAAGAATCTAATATAGTTGCCCCACATTAAATTTTATCGAGTAATCCATCTATGCTCACTTCATTTACTTTAGAAAAGCCTAGTCAGGCTATGCATTTGTTTTAAAGATAGTCTTACAGGTCGAGGTTTAGATTTTCATGTCAATCCTTCATATTCATGACCAGCAGATATTTCCTGTCCGTATTCATCAGTTCTTAGTTACAAATAACCTTCCAAGGTAGGGATAAAAGTGTTTTCATTAACCAACAAATAGATGAAAGAAGTTAAATGGTTGGAGGTAATCAGCCACAGGAAGCCTTAGACGTAGGTTTCGTGCTGGTTGGCACTCATCAGCAAGGCGTATCTGCAGTCACGTTGAAGGAACTCAAGTGCCTTTTGAGACTCGAACCGGTGTCACCCAGTGCCATCTGCAGTTAAAGAGATTACTGCTGAGCTATTTGTGCTCGCGATTGACCTCATTCTTGTAGGACTGCACGAAACAAAGCACTAGGCACAGCACACTAGTTACTAGTGTCCAATCAAAGATGAAAGAAGTATTTTATCGATTTGCCATAAGGTCATCCTTCTGTCTCCAATTTGACATCCAGTAAACAGTAGCATATGCGTACACCCACAATGTTTCTATTCTATTCAACCTAAACACTTCAGATATGTTATTTGGAATTTGAGGCTAGTTTACTCCCTATTTTCATAGATAACTTCCCCACACAGATTCGACTAAGCCTTGTATTCGGATTTATTTGTGATTTCCTCTCGGAAACTCACCATACATGGGGATTACTTAGAAGGACGCCAATACTGTGACTGATTTCTAACACAATCGAAATATTTACTCAAATTGAACTGCTGTCATATTTTTCAGAGATTGAACATAGATATGATGCAGATTTATTTCTGAAGGGGACAGAAACCTCACCGAATAATATCACTGGGGTTACGACAAACGAAGCAGTTAACCGATCGTCAAAGAATATACGGTTACCACAAACTGTATTCCCTCATTTCTATGATCTACGGCTTCAAGTTCACATTCATGGAAATGCTGATACTCAAGACTTCTATTTCAATGGATCTGTGACTACAAAGATTCAGTGTTTAGCAGCAACTGCAGAACTCTTTATTCATGCTTATCCCAATCTCAATGTCAGTATGGATCAAATCAGAGTGAGTGATTCGATATCTGCAGATGTTTATTTTTGTTTTTTTATTTGTAGAACTGTTAGATGATTCGTTGTTCCCTGTTGATCTTACTGCAGAAGTAATTTCATGTCCCTTTTCATTGTTCATGTTTCTCGCTTAAGCTATGACAGTAACATTCGTTACATATGAAACTGTCGCCCATGTTGGACTAAATAGTCGTCAGTTGACAATAACACGTCACTTACTAATTCTAGTCATCCAAGTATTCACAGTAAATGCGTTTTGGCGGTCCCATACACTGCAGCCTGATGACTTATTCCTGAAAGCTTCTTCTAACCATACAATGAATTATGGATTACTTTTGTTTGATTAGACTGCCATGAGATCACTTAAATTATTGGAATTACACATATTCTGAGATCAAACTGTAAACTCATTTTACTACTCATAATTGAAGACTGTCTAACATTTTTCTTTCTACGAGAAGCTGTTGGTGCAGTGACAATTCAACGAAGGAATAATCTGCCTTACACAGTGTTTATATCGTAGAAAAATTAAACTTATCATCCTACGACAAACAAGAGGAGTGGAGGGAGAAAGGGACCTTATAGTTTCAGCTCTTTGCAGGGTGAATTAACGACTGGTATATTTTCAGGAGTTTCCATAAACTTCCGTCCACTGTATTCCCCTTGATTAAGTCATATTTGAGGAATTTGAAACTGAACTTATCTGAATGTTAATCTTTCGACAGTGTCATGAAATAGTTCAGGAGTAAACTATCTGAACCGAATGTAAAGTTACACTGATTAGAATCGCCAATATTTTCCAGTTTGCTAACAGACACAAGGCTCCGATCAATGGCTTCGTGTTTGATTAAAACTTTAAGTGAAACACTGGCCTTTCCCTATAGATTAACCCCGTGCAGTTTACTGTACCCCAATTATTCAACACTTTTGCAGATAATATACAAAGATGAATACATAGAGTTCTGTGCTTTTGAATTATTAATGAAATGTACTCAGTTGAAATTCCAGTTTTAGTCTACTTCATTCATTCTCAGATTTTCATTCCTTTAATAATGAACAAAAGTCTTTGTTGATTTTGTACTCGTTAAACTCAAACTAGGCTGTATGTTTAAATGACGAACATTCACACCAAGTAGTTCAAATGTGGGCGAACATTTACAGTAGTCTATTTTCTTTGAATAACTCAGTGTGACTCATTTTCTCTTCCTCCAATCCTGTTCCGTCTTGTATAGATATATTCGGACAATAAAGAAGATGTAAGGAAGTCAGAAATTCCAATACAGAGGATATCCTACGATAAAGATGCTGAATGGTACCATATACAGCTAAAAGATGCACTACAACCAAATGCAAGTTATAAACTGATATTTGGTCAATTTAATTCTTCACTAACCTATGAACCGGTAGGATTTTATCTGAGTCGGTATGCAGAAAATGGAACTTATAAGTAAGTACTTTTATTGAAGACATTTAATAGTCATCAGAATTACTTTGATTCGAGTCCTCTGTTGAATTTGTTAACTGAATTCAGCTTACAGTTATGTTACCGTTTGGATGAATTTCAAAGCAAACCTCACCATTCATAGAATAATGTGAAGTCATACGCCACTAGAGTACTCGGATTCTATTTCCTCATAAAGCGCAAATCATAGTGTACAGAGTGGGAGAGTGTCAGTAGTGCACTGATGGATTCTACTTTGTCTTTCACATACGAGTAAAAAAGGTGTTACAAAAACCTCCTAACTCTTTACGGCTTAATAATAATAAACCTTCGTTTTATACAATATGTGAACACAGTACGGAGATTTCCGACGTATTTAGTTCCACAATATTTCGTCTCCAAACATAATTTGCACATAAAGTAGAAATCCGAAGTATATTATGTGACGCAGGGTTGTCGCATACGAAGACTGAGACAATTCTGCATATTTTGTCTTCGGTTCCCTCACGAATTGCACAACGTTTTGTTAAAAGCCAATTGAATATGTCCGTGAATTGGTGTAACAGTCCTCTGATATAACTGCATGACCAAAAAAATATGAAATGCAGAAGAGTTTAAGCAACTCGATGGATGGGAATTCTTGTAGCCCAGAGATTTAAGCAGGCAGCCGCCTCAAACACAAGTATTAGCTTCTTCAATGACTGCTTAGTGGTCACTGGGTTTGCTACAGCATTCCTACCCGTTTTCCAAACAGTTTTGTTCATGTTATTATGAACGTCAGCTTGAAACAATATCATATTATAATTGAAAACTTTGTGATGTTCAGTAAAATCCCTGGAGATTTTCAACACACAGTAACCGAATTTGAGTCTATTGAGTGCCTATCAGTTATTTCATGTTTCATCGATCCTTTCATCAATTCGAAAATGTGGTTCATTTCAACAAGGAGTCCAAAATTTTAACATCATTTTTCACTCCCATCACCGTCCACTTCATCTCATTGGAATTTATCAGTGCAAATTCCTGAAAAATTCTAATGAAGTGTAACTATCATTTAGTGTTATTACTGTCAACATCTTCTCAGATTGAGATTTGCAAAACTTCAAAATGAAAACCAGTTTTAAGAACATCACTGATTAGTTTTGAAGTTTAATCCTCGTATTTCTCATGTCAAGTAGTAATGTGGATATACTGGAGAAGATTTGTGACGTAGTTGTATTCTCTGAGCTGGTCCTATTGGCTGAATCGTCTACGAGCTTGTCTTTTAACCTGAAGGTACTGGGTTCGAACCCAGATGAGTGAATACTGCTGAAGAGTTTCAAACTGGGAAGAAACAGCTTTGCAGTACTCACCTCATAGAACACAATTACACCAAATTGTAATAATCAATGCGGTGGACAATTCAGTGTTTAATAAGATCTTAAGCAGGTAATTTTCTCCATTTTCTCTGCAAAATGGCAATATTTGAAATAACTCAACTAGAGGAGATGAAATTGGAGGTTTTATGGTAATGCTGCAAGGCTTGATACTCACACTAGATCACACATTAAGTAGGCAGGCAGGCAGGCCACTGAAGACTCCCTCATTTATCTAAAGGAAGTAGAAGAACTATGAAAATGATAACTATGGTTTCCTGTCTGAATAAATCATACTCTAAATTTAGAACTCACTTAAGTTTTATCGAATGATACACCAATGTCACAGGTAAGTGAAGTTCAGTCTAATAACAGGTTTCCACGAAAAGCAGATTATCCAGTCTGTATAGACTTGAAGATGCATTGGTGATCGTATATCTGTGGCGTGTGCTGCTGATAAAGTTTATCAGTAGTATGTGAAGAGACGTTCGTCAGCATAAAACACATCAAATAGCAGGGAGATACATTTGACGTCAGGGAAAGCAAATGGTACAGTGTTGTGGGAAACATGGGAGACGTGAAAGGAACACAAAGAAACACAATATGAAGGAAAGACAGAGGTAGCAGAACACGGACGATCTGTGAAAATGGTGATTTGAAGATAAGGTGTATATAATTTCAAACAGTTAGTCCCTTTTAAAAATTTTGATAGCATTATTAGAAGACGGAGATTATCTGAAAAATGTGATGTATTTGCGCAATACGTTTGGAACAATCTGATCACACATTTACTTGTCAAGTCAATATATATGGAAAAGTTAAACTAAACAAAGTGACAAAAAAATAATTAAGAATAATTAACACATCCAGCTCGCATTTTTAGACATACTTCTGAGTCGAAAAGACGATAGCTCAAAAGATAGTCTATCTACAGATATCCCACTTGGACGGGGCGATACCTTAATTTTCACAAATTCTGTCCATTACAGTATAAGAGAGGCTTAGTGAAGTGTCTATTTAGGAGGATTCAGCGTATATGCACAGCTGATGTTATAGACAAAGAAAACGAAATATTGATGGATACTCTTGTTGGAAAAGGATATCTTTAGAAATTTTTAAACAGGTGTAGAAGCCAACTAGCCTCTAAACCTACAATCCATACCGTCCCTAAGAAAAAGGTTTTCATCAAATTACCATATAACGGGGAAATAAATAGTAGGATTTTGAGACAAAGGTTGAATTCGATCATCCGTAGAACCTACTATGCAGCCCAGATTGTAATTGTGGAAAAAGCTAAACACATGCTTCACTGCAAACCGCAAAACTGCACAGGTGATTACGTCACATCCCACACAATTTACCAATTTTCGTGTGTGTGTGGACATACATCATAGGGAGGAGTAATCGCACGTTGCACGTGAGGGTGGGAGAGGATATCCCAAAATGGTTAGGAAAACAGATGAATTGTGACAAGCCAATAGATGCAGGTGTCAGACTACCAACTTCGTCTATAGCTAAACATTTAATCGAGATGAACCATAAGGTTGATGTTAACTCAGCCTTTAAGGTCATCTATAAAAACGGTCAAGGACGTTTACTGAAATACTCTGAGGCCATAGCCATTCATAAACTTAAGCCCCCTTGTGTACTCAAAACCAGTTTGTTATTACTCTTAACATATCTTGGTAATCCTTATTGGATTGGACTACCAAACGTTTGCGTTAATTATTCTTAATTATTTTTTTGTCACTTTGTTTAATTTAACTTTTCCATATATATTGACTTAACAAGTAAATGTGTGATCAGATTGTTCGAAATGTACAGCGCAAATACATCACATTTTTCAGATAATCTCCGTGTTCTAATAATACTATCAAAAAAGTATATAATTTCGCTATCTAGCGATACCAAATCGCAATTAGACATTCCTTTGCCTAGTGTCTTGTCTTTTACCGTTATATATCCACAGCACTTAATGCGAATAGCCTGTTCTTTTCACGGTCAACATTTCACAATGAGGCAGTACTGATTTATGGCACAAGTAAGCAACATCTGATCCCTCTTCATGCAGTCTGAGTTTTGCAACTAAAGTATCTTTGTCACATTTGCTAGAAAAAGTTTTGTAAGTCTACTTCAAATTCAACATGTTCAGCTTGTTTGCATTTTGAACACCTCTTGATTCAACAGAATGTGACTGAGATTTCCCATGAATTTTCTAAACACGTTTATTCCTTCAATTTTACTATGATTTGTTTATCGAGATGTGCTCATGTCTCTCCCTCTTTGCGTCTCTCCTTTCCTAACCGGTTAAACACTAATTTACTTATAAAGTAAAATACAAGCTTAAGCCTTGACATCTTCAAGTGAACATACCGACATGTTTGCAGAGGTATTTCGCAAATATCATGAATTGCTCACTTTACTGCTCCTTTCTGATGCAAAAGTAAACAGAATAATAAATCTCGAATCATTCACATACACTTTCACTTAACTCCAGCTGCATCATATTTATTTCAGGTACTTAGCAAGCACACAATTTGAGGCAACTCATGCAAGGCGTGTATTTCCTTGTTGGGATGAACCTGGATTTAAGGCTGTATTTCAGGTAGGTATACTATTGCGGTTCTTGTGCATTCTGAATATTCTGTTTAACTGAGAGGTAGTTCATTGAGAGCAAAGAGAAATACAATGTTGCCTCATCTGTGGATTTTTGAAGGCATTTATGATTTATATTTGTGTATAAGGATCTAGAGTAGGTGTGTAACCAACGGATCATAATTTCACAACGGAAGCCAATTTGATTCATTTCAGACCGTTACAAAATATGGTGTGGTTATTAAGCAAATCAAAGAATGGTATATTTATTGATCGACGAATCATTGGTTCTTTCATTTATTGCCGTACGAAGCGAGGATATTGACTGTCCTATATGAAAGTTCAGTAGAAACAGGTGTCAGCGAGTGAGCGGTGATCTGTCGGCATGGACACACTCAAACTTATGCATATAATTCGTGGATAGATTAACATGGCGTCAAAGTAATTGACAGTGAAAAGTTTCAAGTATTGGTTTGTGGGGATTTGATTGATTGGTTAAAAGATTTGGTCATGAGCTGACATCGGTTAGAGAACCATTAGAAAACCTGAGAGTATTGGACAGCTGTTTCGTCCTAGTTTAGGACTCTTCACAGTACTCACCCACTGGGGTTCAGAATCAGGACCTTCTGGTTACAAGGCTACCTTGCTCGTAGAACATTAAGCCACTGGAACCCGATCCAATGACCACCATATGAATTCCAACTTCTGACAATTCACGACATAGTGCGACCACCAGTCAATGTTTTGGGATATCATTTATTCTCACGCTTGACCTGCTGTATCCTACTGGTCAAGAATTCCCACTAGAATCCCAGGCAACTACCTTCTTGAATAGAGCCAGTTGCTAGGGTGTTCGCTGTTTCATTATTTCGGGTAACTAGGATCCATCGGATAAGAATTATATTCATGCACTAGTGTCATTCAACGTCTTCCAATATGAAAACAATTATTGGTCATTATATTTGGATGTTTTAAGTGCTTGATGAATGTACATAAGTGAAAAAGTACAGTCAAGGGCTGCAGAAACCATTCCGCTCCCCAGAGGCATTGAAGTGCGTCTTCTCGCGATGCTTCTGCATCTTAAAAGGACGCATCAAATAAATTTTTGTTTGATTACAGTTATTTTGAATGACAAAACATTTGTATGCTAAATATTCCCATGTCAAAAGCACTTTTGCTATATGGTTACGTACTTCAACTTCTACAAACAAGTGTTAATTGTTCCTCTTACAGGTTACCATCATACGCCACAAGGATTTTTATACACTTTCAAATATGCCTGTTAACAACACAGTGGCGCTTTACGCTGATTGGCGTCAAGATCAGTTTCAACCAAGTGTAAAGATGTCTTCATATCTGTTGGCATTTGTGGTTTCACAATTTCATGGACTTCATGCTGTGGATTCAAAGGGAAGAAATGTGAGTAGTGTAGAACTGGGTAGGCTTTTTCAAAGTATTTCCTGCTTATATCAGTAAGCATTTATTTATTATCCTGGTGTGGGAAGTAAGAATAGTTGTGGGATTGAAAGGTACAGTCGGTTCTGTATGAGGTTACTTTCTCTCTCTAATCTCATCATACAAATGCCTAGGGGATATTTCAAGATGGCGAGTAGCCAGTAAGGGCAGGTATATAGTGCATACTTTTAATTCCTATGTTATACGGGCGGATAACTATAGTTCTGTGTTTGTATAGTATTCACTTGTTAACGAAAATTAATCAAACACGTTATGTAAACGTATGACTACGTGTGAACCGGAATGACAATGTTACATTAAGGTGAGAGGTGTCTAAAATTTCCAAAAACAGAAGGATATTTCATCGACTAAAGGTGCTTTATGTACAAATCTCTGAAGACATACAAAAAGTAACGTTAGGCTAAATACTGCGTTGTTAAACACTAAGGAATCAGTATCTCCTTCATTACTTTCCTTCCGATAACAACATATACTCGTGGAAAAATGTGAGTTTTCTCATCTTCCACAAAGAAGTATCAAGTAGATTTTACATGATTACAATATCTCATGCACATATGACAATGTCATCCTCAGACTCATGCTTAACTAATCGTTTCCTATTCAGCTTCCACTTAAGGGATGGCCTCTTTGGTGTGTGATGTTACTGAACTGTCTTCTCAGCATGTGTTCGATCCATTTCAGTGTTTTCGGAATATTTGTTGGGCGATAGGTTCTTACTTGGCTCATTCCTAGAGTTCATTCTTTCCAGTGACTTCTGAACTTATAATCCTTAGTACGCAGCCAGAGAAAGTAGCTGTGTCAGGATAACCTGCCTCATCATATGTATTTATCACAAATCCACACATCTGGTTTCTGCCTGTCAGTAAATATCTTAGTTACTTTATAGAGAGGTCATTTCATTGTCCTATAATATTCATCTGTTTCATTACTTTATGTTCTTACAATTTAATTCTGATGAGACTATTTGAGTCTTTGTAGATTCAAGTAGACGTGATATTACAAAGTAACACTTTCAACTTTCACCAACTGCCTCAAAGTATAGAGATTTCCTCACAAGTGGTGACATTCGCTGAATCAACAGTTGGCAAGATAAATTGCGATTCAATTCAGAATAATGCAATCTCACTCAAGAACATTTAGTAGAATGTCGGTCTGAAATGTGTATGTTCACATCAAGCTGTCCAGAATGATTCTGGACTTGACGATTTCCCTTCATCAACATCTTTCTACTTCTGAATGTGTTTTTAATATGTCTCAAGTTGGGTGATATAAAAAGCACTGTTCATCATCTTTTGCATTATTTAATCAGTTTACTGTCTGGACAAGACCAGAGAAAATTGAATCAGCCAGGTATGCTTTGGATATCGGTAGAAGACTTCTTGCATACTTTGAAAATTACTTTGGAGTGCCTTACCCACTTCCAAAAATGGGTGAGTATTTTCCCTAATTTGTATTCAATCATTAAGCTTACATACAATTTACTAATTAGCTGTTCAAATAACATAGACGTGTATATTTTAGAGGTGTTGTAATGAAGGTATCTTCCACATAGTACAACATCCTTTTGTTCTGTCTGGTATGATTCTCCAGTGTCACTAGAAGTGATGCATTTGTAAGACTGTTTTGATCAAGTATGAAAAGAAGAGAGCAAGTAGTTTAGTGGATGAGCTCGATTCGGTGACTTCATTTTGTGTAGCTGTACAGTCATATTTATATACAGCCAGGGAAAGAAAGTGAATTTGTTGAATTTAGCCTCTTCAGTGAACTACTTGTTTTGTTCTTTTCATTGATCCCTGGATGGAGGGGATTATTCATGAATTGGCTCAATATCAGATTCTCCACCTCACTGTCAAAAACTCAGTCTTATTTATTTATTATATTATTTTAACCTTTGGATTCCCAGGGGAGCATAGCACTTGAAGCTCGAGCTGTGGAGTTTCAGTCGCAGTATTTTCGATCTTTAACAGATGCGGTCTCCAGTCCAGTCTCCCCTCTTTATCGGGATTTCTACTGGCTATGGGAGGTTAATTGGTGCGTTGACTAAGTTTCAAACCCAACCACTTTCGGCGTGTTTGGCGAATATCCTACCACTGCAACGACCACTGTCTCCCTCAACAAATTGTAAGGAATAATGATAGTGGCACAATGAGGAAATTCACTGAAATACATAAAATAATAGGGGGAGGGGAATTTCTCCATCATATACTTTAACGAGAACAGATTGGTTGGTACTAGAAGGAATTATTGCAGGGTTGATAAAAGGATTTATTCCATTGGCTATAAAATGCAAACTAATTCATGTACTAAGAAGACACATTTCGCGAGATGATATCATTTCGTAGTTTCTTTATAACCGCTTTACAACTAACATGGTTAACAATAATAAAATAAAGATCATGACAATTACTCAGTTAAATAAAAACAAAAACAAAAGTACATACTAATGACCAATCATATTTAGATAGGTCAAGTAGTCCAGGGTAGGCGAGAAGGTTGAAGTCTATTGATTTTTGTTCACACAGTTTACGCTGTATGTGATTAATTCAAAGTGCTTCCATCACCTTCAATAACCTTGAATTAGAGTTATGTGAAATAATTGTAAAACAGTCATTAATATTGACTTTGTGACCTGACATTAATAAGTGTTTTGCAATGGATGACGCAGGACTACTTGACCTATCAAAATATGATTGGTCATTAGTATGTACTTTTGTTTTTACTTAACTGAGTAATTGTCATGCGTCTTATTTGATTTTATTATTGTTAACCATGTTAGTTGTAAAGTGGTTGTAAAGAAACTACGAAATGATATCATCTCGCGAAATTTGTCTTCTTAATGCCTTATTCTAATTCATGTACATCATTCAGTCTTACACAGTATCAGCCAAAGCCTATTTAGACTAATAATAAGTATCATTAAGTGGTCACTAATCTGAGATAGTTTAAATTACAGTGACATTGTTCTGTAGGTTACACATATTTCTTACATATAATCGCCAACGACTACAAAGTGTGATTTATGATTTTTCTGATAAAAGATAGTTGATAGTATACGACATATTGCAAAGCCATTCAAACACAAATGATTATCAGCGAGTAAGAACTTGAACACATTTATTTTAATGAATTTGAGTGGCTTAGGAACCTGTCTGAATTATGGATTATAATCTCGACTGGATTTTGCGCCAGACTTTTTGGGGCGGGAAGTCAGGAGTACGCTGGACCACAGATAAGAAGACTCTAGAAGATCTGGATTTCGAGTGTGGATGATATATGTCTAACTTCACACAAACTAGAAGACTTGCAAGCGAAAACCAACAAAATGGCTGAAGAGGCAGACAGCGGAAACAGGACTGCAGGTGAGCACAGAGAATACGGAGGTGATGAGGATAACTAACGAACCGCAACAACAACAACCAGCACCAATCACCATCAACGGGAGAGATTTAACAGAGGTCGCCTTCTTCACTTATCTAGGCAGCTAGCATCGTTTCAACTACAGGCAAATGGAATGGACGAAGATGTCAAAGCCAGTCAGGATCGGAAAGGCAAGATACGCCTTTGTAAACCTGAAACCAGTTTGGAAGTCTTCCGCAGTCAGTATAAGCAACAAGATTAGCATTTTCAACAACAATGTGAAGTCGGTTCTTCTATACGGACCGGAAACTTGGCCAGCGTGTCACTAAAAGGATTTCCGACAGGCTGCAGACTTTCATCAACAGCTGCTACCTTCTCTAGCTGGCGCCATACTGAAGATCAAATGGCCAGAAAGAATAAGCAACAAGATACTCTGGCTGGGAAAAAACCAACAGGCGAAAGCCGATCGCTCAACAAATATGTAGGAGAAAGTAGAGGTGTATCGGGCAAAAATTGGGGAGGCCGTCGAAGGACATAACGCGCAATGCAGGCCCTCTACTGGAATCCAAATAGGAAGCGACGTGTTGGTCGTGAGTGAAAGGGTGATACGCAGGAGATCGTGTGAGGAAGAGATAAGAGAGTTTGGTCAATCGTGGACCCAGCTGAAGAGGACGGCAGGTAACAGAAAAAGTGGAAATGTATCTTTGAAGCCATATGTTCCCCTAGGAACACAAGGGAACAATAAATGATACAATATAGAAACCAGTCTTATACCGTCAGTCTTGAATCACCTTTACTAACATCTAATATCAAATGTAACCGAAATTGTGATAGGTAAACAAAATATGTTAGAGAACTTATCGAAAACATTGCAGCCTTAACTGACGATTGGGAATAGACAGCCATGTTAGTTATCAACTGAAGACCAGTTCGTGTACAAGCATATAAATTAATGAAGTTAGTTATTTGTCAAAAGTACAACGATACGCACTCACTAGAGTTCGGAGCAAGGACCTTCTGATTACAAGTCCAGAGAGGTCACAGATCACTTCAGTCACTGCGACCTGACTCAATAGCCCATGAAGTTTAACTTCTATCAATTCGTGATTTTAGTGAAACGACCAGCCAGTGTAATTAGTGGGTATTTGTCTTTACTCTCAACCGAATGCACCCCAATGCTGATGACTTCTCACCACTACAACTCCAGTCAACTTCATCCTGTAGTTATTCACCAGCGAGCCTCACTTTAGTTTTCAAGAGTTAGTTTGTAGGGAGCTGACTTGTTTTAAGTTGATTGATTGAACAGAACAATAGTTCACGTTCAGTCAGACAGCATGTATCCCTAATATTAGTTAGACAGAGCTTATATTGATAGAATTCACCTCATTTTATATATTTTTTCACCATTCATCTTAATTGTTGAGTAAAAATCCGAGTAATTCCGCTAAACAGCTGAATTCTGCTACAAAAGAACTTTCAGAAAAATGATGTTTCGATTTTCCAAATGTGTTAGGATTCTTTCAAGTAGTTGTACAATGAGTCAGTTAGACTTGGAGCATTAATTTCTCCTGGTAATTCGCAACAGCTATGATCGCAATAATTACTAAGCTTTCTTTTTATACGACTCCTCTTTTAGAAATATTAACAAAAGCACAAAGTGAACTGAATCTTCTCTTAAATGGGTTATAATGACTCTGCGAGAATTGGACACATTTTGTGGAAAAATAATTAGGCTGCGTGGTTCCCTAAAATTAGCTTCAGGGTAATGAAATAAAGATTTTGGACTGAACAAGTTACTCAAAATTTTTCAGAAGAATAGATATTGAACAAAGAGTACTCTTTTCAATAACTTCATCATCAGGCTCTACAATTATATATACACATTATAGTGAATGAATAAATTAGTGTTATGAAGAACATTAATGCTGTTTAAATAACATCAAATCAATAATATTGATAGATTACAGCTGAACAGCATCAACATAAAATAAGCTGAATGTCAGAAAAGTTAGGAAAGGTAATATTACAAATTCATGAATTTATAGTCTCTACTGAAGGCTGGCCGGTGTAGTAGTAGGGGCTGGACTTGCTTCTTTTGAACACAGAGCACTGGTTGCTTGAGGCGAATTGCAATAGCCTCTGCTGTTTGGAGCATGCGGTGCTTCGATGATTTCGGCAATTTGTTAGGCACCCGGTAATTATAGAGAAGGATTCTTCAATGCTGGCCGGCTTTGTGGCCGGTTTGCACCACATGGTCCAATATCGAACTGTTAGTGGTTTTCACTACACCTTCACTTAGCCATAGTGGGAGATGTTCTCGAGTGAGCACGAAAAATCAACTTCCTAGAGCAGTGGCCAATATAACTCGCTCCACCACAAGCGCAACTGAATTGGTAGATACAATTTGAAGCGGCTAGTCTAGGTACTTCATCTTTCAGTCGAGGTAGCACCATCGGTCGTGTAGAGAATTATACGTGTTGTTCGCCAGCATTAAAAGTTCTTTGAACTGATTTCCTTAATTTCCTCGTAATTATCTCATTTGGTATATCGCCCTTGAATTGTAGTCGTATATAAAGTGGCTTCTTGTTTACAGATAGTGAGTAGTCCTTTTCCGCTTTCTTTGTCATGTGTTTCTTGATAACTTTTTCGGGATAGCTATCTTCGATCAAAGTATCATATACAACGCTTAATTCATCTTCAATTACTTCTCCTGAGCACATAGCTCTAACTCTGTGGCTGAGGGTCTTCGCTAAATTTCTTTTGTACTTGAGAGGAACGAAGCTGTGAAAGTGCGTATATTTTCCTGTCCAAGTACTGTTTCTATACAAATTTCTTTTTATGCTACCATCTGATTTTCTTGTAAGGAGGACATCTAGGAAGGCAATTCTGTCTTGGGATTCCTCTTCGCATGTGAATTTCATAGCCGAATGTACTTCATTGAATTCAGTAATTATTGTACTCCTATCAGAACCATAATCACAAAGAATAAAGGTATCATCCATATATTGGCAGTAAAATGAGTGCTTACTGATAAGGTTGTTCAAAGGTCCATTTTTCAAGCTTACTTAGAAAACATCAGCCAGAATGGGACCCAGTGGGGGAACCATCGCCACCCCGTCCACTTTCCTGTAAGCATGCCGTCAAATTTGAAGCTTACATTCATGGTACATCTTAAGAACAATTCTTTTAGGATTTCAGTACGGATGCCAATATTTACCGACTGGTTACCCACTTGTTCACATATGTAGTTAACTGTTTCCATTAGAGGTACATTTGTGAATAAAGATGTTATGTCCAGAGATATCATGGTTTTACTCAAAATTGTTTTTTGTTTTTATTTGTCTTTAGATATGGTTGCACTTCCTAACTTTTACTCTGATGCAATGGAAAACTGGGGTCTAATAATATGTCGAGAAAATGGACTGTTATGGAATCCGAGTACTGGTGCAGCTGCATCGAAATTACTGGTGACAGTTACTATTGCCCATGAAATATCTCATCAGGTAATGACAATTTGAGTTTTTGGCTGAACTGCATTCTACTGTGTATATATCTTTTTCTAACACATATTACTGTGGTCTACACTAGTAATGTTGGTTTCAAGCTTCGCTGGAATTACAACGATTATATTTGAACAGAAAGGCCTGAAATAATCTTTCCATTTCTAAAGAAAAAATGGTACCCACGTATATCGCTGCAGTAATCGTACTTCTTATTTTTATTTTTGATTATAGCTTGATTCCACACAGTATTTTGGTACAACTATAGAATTTTCAGCATGTGATATCGGTAGCCTGAATTCTGCAGGCCAACGAATGATATCAGGTGTTTGTCGGTCGGGAATCGAACCCCGGACCTTATGCATAGTCGGCGAGAGTCCTAACCGCTGTGCTACCGACGCACTTAGGGTATTATAACTCAGATATAAGTCGCTTGATGCTTAACAAACTGAGTCGTAGAGTAAGAGAAGGAATAAAGCTAGTATTCGCAGAGTATAATGAACCCCGTAAACTTTTCCTAGTGATTTACTTAAAGTGGGAATAGGCAGATCACCATGTGTCCTGCCTAACGTCATAAACGGAAGCAGACTAACGAATAGAAGTGCTACATACAATTCTATACTACTGATTCATTTAAGCAGTAAAAACTCATTCTCATAAATCATTGAATTTCGCTAACAAGGTCGAGTTAATCTTGACATATTATTCATTTCTACTGGGTCACCTGTCTCCAGCTTTTTGAAACTAAGACAGACACTGAACAGTCTGAATTCAGTCTGGAAATCTACTGCGATCAGCATAAACAAAAACATTTGGATTTTTAATACCAATTTCAAGTAAATTCTTCGACATACTTCTGAGACTTTGAGAGTTACCAAAAGCATTTCTAGTGAGCTGCAAACTTTCATCAACTGCTGCCTTAGCCGGCTCGATACTAAAGATCAAACAGCTGACTGAAAAGGATAAGGAGGCAATGGGGAACTCTGCAAACGAATTGCTGAAGACCCTATTGCCCAGCAAATATCTTGAAGACCGACGAGAATGCAGATGCATTGGACACACGACGAAGAGATGCCTGGGTGACATCACGTACCTAACAGGCCATCGCTGAAGAAGAACTCGAATAGTGAAAATGACGAGTTGGGTATGGGTCGTAGGGTGACATTGATGAGATCCTCTGCGCTGGAGATGAAAGCTTATGGAGAGTCGTAGAGATAGCTGAAGGGGACTATAAAGAACACGACGAAATAGAGACGTGCTGCTGAAGCCCTAAATTCCAATTGGAACCTAAGGGAATAGTGAATATATAGTGAATAAAAGAAGAAATAGCCATCATGTGGTCGTTACTATTAAGCTGGACAAATTTTAAAGTAACCGATTGCAGTTAGAGCTTTGATTATTACCTGATTAGCAGTGTGAGAATTTATAATGTCTTTAAATACGACTTCTACGATTTCTGAATGTTATTCTTCACTGATAATTTCACTGAATACTCGATAATTCAGTTCTGACAGATGCAAATATTCTCATTTAAATTAATTAGTAATATACACATTGCAGAAAAGTGACTATGACCTTCTTTCAGTTGAGTAATAAACAACAGCACTATGCTTTCTCTGTCTGAATTTCAGTGGCTTGGCAATTTAGTAACGATGAAATGGTGGAACAACCTGTGGTTAAAGGAAGGTTTTGCAAACTTTTTTGAATACATTGGAACAGACTTTATTCAACCACATTGGAAAGTGGTAGGTCAATGCTTTGTCCTAATTACTTCTTAATATATTATTTGCATTTTTGCAAGTGATTTACTGAGATATTCTCATATAATTATAATAACAGTATAACTAATAATAGATTTACTCTGGATTTAATGTCTACACAATGTACAGAATTCCCAGTGCAGGTTTTCGCTCTTCGAGTAAAATATCAACCGTCAGTGTATCATGTACTACAATGCTGTTCGATTTGAAGCAAACCCTAATCCCTGTGATAAATCTTTCATTCATCTCCGAGAAATGCGCACCGGTATTTTGAAAACCATCCATAACTGTGGGTGGGTGCATTTTCCGACTCAAAAGCATAACTGAGTGATTAGAAAGATAAAAATTAGAGAAAACAGGATACATTATGTTGAATGACAACTCAAATAGCCAAGGGATTTTAGCACACTGCCGTTTATAGATCCTGCTAGCCCTAAATGGAGAGGCTAGACTAACTTTATACCACGATAAACAATCGAGAAATGCAGGAAAATCAGTCTGCTTGTGATAAACTTGGTTTTAAGTATCAGTGAATAGAGATAGACTTACTTGTTGACTGCATGGAGTAATTTTTGATAGAGTAACCGACGAGTGTTTGTATGAATCGTTTATTTCGACTAAGTTCTTCCATGCAAAAGTTGACGGATCCAGGATAGGCATTTCGTCCTGTTTTGGACTCATCCGTTGAACCTACTTGCATTCCAAGTGAGTAATGGTGTGCATCCGACTGAAGAATCTCAAACATGATGAAATGTACATCCTCGATTCCACCTTTAGTCAACTAAAATCCCATCACGTTGGACACTGTCAAAGTGTCTGTATTAGTGGCGAACATGTCAAGCTTCACTGTCCAACACAGTCAATCAATGAGGAATGAAAATTAACATGAAATTGAATTTAGTTATTTGTTTTGTCAATTAAGTCGGAATTGTCATCTGTTATTTCCACTAACTACAATTATTACAATTTCTTTCATAACAAACAGGATAGACATTTCATTATTAATGATATGCAAGGAGCGATGATCTCAGATGTCTCCATAGAATCTCATCCTGTTATTAATTCAGCTGAATATCCAGGCGAGATCGAGGACATTTTTGATCCGATAACATACAGTAAGGTTAGTTTGACAGTACTTATGGTGCCGTCTTTTTATATACGAGCCCTTTTTTGAAAAACAGATAGAGTTAAAGTGTAATTGTACAGTCTGAGTAAGTTGTAGATGTTTATATCTGATGTTTTGTGACCAGTTGAACGTCGGTTATTCAGAGGATAACATGTAATCGGAGAAACAGCCATCATCACATGGTTTTAAATGGTCAGCAATTCTCTCAACTTTCAACTGTTTCTACCAGAAGAGAGATTCATAATAGTGCTAACAATGTCATTATTGATTTGGGGGTTAGCTATAAAACCAGTGAAGTCAAAGAAACAATGACCACTTGCATATAAAGCGCCAAAAATTCAAAGGCTCAAAATGGAGGTGGAATTTTAATAATTTTCAATCTCACTCTGCTCTTAAACATTTAGTCCTGATTTAGTTGTCTTGGATCTAGTTAACAGACTTAAGACTGGATGTATTTCGGTGGGAATTTTCATTCGATAAGAAATTACCATTTTCGAGTCATAGACACAATCGAAGTGATATCACAGGGGCTGCAGAATTAGCATCTCGACAAAGGGAAGAATGTGTTCCGTTTACTTATAAATATTGTAATTAGAAATAGCTTCAAAAATGGATTGCAATGATATTCAGGCAGTACAGTTTCTACGGGAATACACCTCATATATGAGGAGAAAACATGAGGGGTAAGCGAATTGATGGAAGCTGAATGACACATTATCTAAGATGTATGCAGGAGAAGTCATTTGCCTGGAAGTGTTTCAATGCAGTGTGTGAGTGGCATTTTATGCATGCTGATGGTAGCAATCTATACGAATCAGTGTTGTTTCATGGTGTGGTTGTCGACAGGAATACAAGAGTTTGTTAAGTTGATATCTGGTGACCAGAAGACTGAAAGGTAGGAGACAACATCGGTTAAATTGATCAACTCAACAAGATTGAGTTTGCTTTATTGTTTGAATTGAAAGAGTATCTGATTTAAATTGCTTACAAAATGTGAAATATGTGAAATTTCCGGAACACTTAATTTTCATTAACGTAAACTTGAACTGACTATATGCTTGTAGGATTGTTTATTTCATCACAGTGGCGTATTACAAACGGCTTCTCAGGTGCTTTTGCACTAAAGATGCTGCGATATAAATAAAAAATAAAATCAGAGTGTTTGAATACTAGATATCTAATTACTTAATATTTCTTCTCACAACAATTAGTTCAGATAATGGTGTAAGGTTTTGAACTGGTGTATTCTATGGTGTTAAAATAAACGAGCAAGGCTTTAGACATACTGTTTATGTGCACAATATCTCATGAATTACAGTCTTATTGCTTTAACAATTTACAGGCTGCTTCGATTATCCGGATGATGGAGTCATTTCTTGGATATGATGTCTTCTTAAATGGCATGAAGGTGAGTTGTACTTGGATTCCCTTCAGAAAAGCATCTATTTCCTCTGTAGTGTAGCAGCAACGAACACTAGTCTTATTTAATTGAGAACTGGATGTAAATGGGAGGTGGTTTATATTTGGCCAAAGCGTATCGTTTATTCTGCATATTGTTTTGCACTAATATATTGTAATGAACGAAAGCATCACTCGACAACTTCGTCAGCTTTATCGATTTCGGCGGTCCTACTCGTTTTCCTGCATTTTCATATAAAATCATCCCTCTACGTATGATTTTCTATCTTCAGTGATATTTTGTAAACAAAGCAGCTAGGCGTCTTATTTTTCAAAAGTATCAGATATCTGCTAGTGTGCTTTACAAAGTGGACAGTTCCCTTCACCCATTCAACTGCAGATAACTTAAATTTTATTCCCGATTTAAAGGGGTTGATTCATGGAGGTAAAAGCTGTTAGGCAGACCTACAGATTTCAATCAACCACTTGTCTTGTTTTAATTAATTCTATGACGGCGGTTTTTCATAAACATTTAACTGACAAGCATTGCATAACAGGTGCTTCATTTAAATTGAGTTGAGTTGAAAAGAATGTGGTTTTTCAGGGAGAGATATATGAAAGTGGCACATATAGAACTCTAAAAGTATGAGAACTGTTGAATGAGTATATGATAATATGGAATTGTTAGTAGTGACTAGTTGTGAGTAGCAATTTTTTCACAGGTGCCTTTAATGGCATCTATTATAAATGAGCCTAAGTGGAACTCAGATGTCAAAAGCAGCATTAAGAAAACTGCATTCACATGATGCAATCCAGATCGCTTAATATTCACAATTTTGTTTTTCTGTATTTCCACAAGATCTACTTGCAAGAAAACAGATATAAAAATACGGACGAAGAAGATCTATGGAAGGCGTTGGATCGTGTAAGTCTCTGCTTTCAAATAAATAACAACTAACAGTAAATTTTCTCATATATTTTGATGAGAAATGCATTTTTATCATATTCTCCATCGTCTTCTCTGAGTTTTGATAAAAGAGAACTTGTAGGTGTTTTGTATTTCTGAGGATACAGCAGACCTTCAGGTTGTTAACAGGTCATGATGATTTTCTTCAGTCATAATAATTATAGGGCTTCGGTCGCATGTCTTCATTGCGTTCGGTTCTCTGCCAACGTTTTCTCCTGACTCCACGTCTGCCCACATGCTTTCATCTCCTCTTCGCACGACCTCCTCCTTTATGCCACCATGTCGCCGATGACCGACTCGCCGCTTCCCATTTGGTTTCAACCAGAGCGATGACCTGTTGTGTGATGTCACTTGATGGTTGATTTTCTTAGAGTATGGCCAATCCACCTTCAGTTCTTCCTGCTTATTTGTTGCACAGTGGTTCCGCCTTGGTAGGTTCGCTCATTGTCAGAAATCCCTCCCTGTTGTTGATCTTTTCTGGCCGGCCATGTGATATTGAGTAGTGTTGAGCGAAGACAGCTGTTGATGAAGGTGTGTAGTTTGTTTGAAGTGTCCTTCGTGATGCGGCATGGTGCCAAGTCTCTGATCCATATGGTAGCATTGAATTCACATTGAAGTTGAAAATCCGGATCTAATTTTTCACGCTGAGTGCTATTGACCTCCACAAAGACTTGAGAGAAATGAAAGCTTTCCTTGCTTTCCGGATTCTCGCTTTGATATTTTCATTATTCCAGTCTCAGGTAGGTAGGTAGGTAAAGGAGGTTGATTCTTTCAGATTTCTCCCATTTATTCTGGCTGATTGTTGTCTGTTGTTGTTGTTGCTGTTGCAGTTGGCCAGGAATCTTCATCGTCACCTCTGTTTTCTCTATGTTTACCTGAAGTCCCTCCTATCTTTGATGCCTCTTCTGTCAACTTGTTGCCTTTTACTTGCATATTTTCCAGTTTGTGGGAAATCAGACAAATATCATCGTCGAAGTCCAGATCCTCCAAGATTTTGTGTTGGTCCATTTTATGTCTGCCTCCTCGTTTCCCTCTGTGTGTCTGTCATATTGTTAGAAGTCAGCTAGCCAGCCTTGTCTTACTCCCGTCTTCACTTCGAAGGATTCCGTGAATTTCCCGTTGTGGATTACTTGGAATGCAGCATTGTCGTACAAATGTTGGATGAAGTGTATAATTGTTGGCGGCACTACACAGTAACGAATTTGTTTCTAAATCACCTCTTGATCGACGCTGTCTGCTGAAGGCCTTTTCAAATTCGATGGAGTTGAGATAGAGAGCTGACTGTCATTCCAAGCTTTTTTCAATGATAATCGTAGTGTGGTGATTTGATCGATGCATGACTTGTTCCTCCTGAATCCAGCCTTTTCCCGTGGAAGTTTTTCATAAAACGACGAGGTATATAGGCGAAAGTAACTCATACACGGAAACTTATGAAAAGTTACTAAGGACGATAGAAGTCACTGTTTTCATAATTTTGTGGATTCGTTCGTTGTAAGTGATCTTCATCATAGTACCAGATTCTTACAGCTTTTGTGGGCATAGTTAAACTTTGCAGTACCCAGAACAGGCTGGAACAGCTCTCTGTCATATAAATATTACGGTGGAAATATCACGATACAATTTAATGGAATTCACTTAAGATTACTGCATCCACATACATGAGAATCTACTGAAAAGAATATCTGTAACGAACTTTTACATCATAAGAGAGAGATCTCTTTCATTATCTAGATTAGGGATGAACTATTTATCAATAAATCTGATAATATAGACACATGAGATTTACTCGATCATGCCTTAATTAGTGCAGCCTACCAGTGGAGTCGAGGATGAGCATTTCATTCTATTTGTTGCCCATCATTTCGATGTACGCGCACCGTCTACATTCAGCTGAAGTGTCCCAAATAGAACGAAATGCGTCCTATGAATTTCTATGCCAGTCACCATCAAACTGATGTGGACCATATTTATATTTGAGAAATTAATGGTTCGTGATGTATTTTTTGCTAGTGAAAGTCTCTTCAAAAAGGTAGTCTGTCACCCGTCACCAGAATGGAAACTAGTGGATTACGTTTAGATATCATATTCGCTCTCATTTTCAGAGTAAAACTAGATTGTGGTAACATAGTCATGCATTACAGTTCATGAATAATTGAATTAATATGCCAGGAATGTGTGAGATGTTACTGTAGTGATTTACACCAGTTCCAAAAGGTGTTTCATTTCACTAAATTTAAAGTTATTCGCATTTTTGTCCTATCGCAATTAAATCAAGATTTGAAGTGTAGGCTGGTATATGCATATCCGAAGATTATTTATATTTATCGGTGTTATACTACTTTAATATCAGGAAGAGGTAAGCTACCCTAGGAACTGTTTGGAATTCACTCATATAACAAACAAGTTGAAATTTCAGTGGAGACACTGAAAGTAAACATTTTCTTAGATGTTATGATGCTTCAGGTGCTTTTGAATACATTTACGTTCACAGTTCAAATCTAATGAGATCAAGTTTTAAAATTTTAGGCGGCGAAAAGTGCCAATAAAGTCATCGACATCAAATCGATCATGGATACTTGGACAAGACAAATGAATTATCCAATTTTGATTGTTAACCGAAGTGATTCCAACACCTTCCATTTCAAACAGCTTCACTTCTTTGAACCTGTAAATGATACGCTTTTGCCATCACGACACAAGTGAGTGGAGTATTTCTCATCAATTTCTTCTATCTCTTAAAATAGATGATGGTGTCTTGTTGCAATTTATGTAACATTTTATCTCGCTCTGTGGTCACTAATAAGGTGGATATAGGAAGTCTCTTTCCAGGATTCATGAGTTAGTAAGGGGATGTAAGATTTTGAATTCTTGAGTAATTTGCTCCTTAAGAACAAAATATTCCTTCATTCACTAGTTTGAATGACTTCAAAGCTGTCAGTGTTTATAAATCTCCCTTAAATGACATGTGAAAACGAAGTTTGGTTAATTCGCAGTAAGTGGGAAATCTTAAACTTTACTAAGGTACAGAGGGTTCCGTCATCTTCAAGAAACAGTTTACAATAGCGAATAACCTTTACACTTTGATGAGGGATTATTTAGAAGAGTGAAAAATACTCCTACCACCCTGCAGTCAAACGTTTACACTTGTAGACATTTTGTCATGTCCGTGTTGCATAATTATGTAAAAGGAGAGCATTTCCTCACGATAAGCACACTCAGATATAATGAAT